ATAACAGAGTTGGAAGGGACCTTGGAGGTCTTCTAGTCCAACCCCCAGCTTAGGCAGGAAAATCCCGTGCCATTTCTGTCTAGCTTTCGTGCCTTTCTGGCATATTTTTTTTCCTCCTCCTCGTGCCAAGTTGTAAAATAAATCCCGCCCCCCAAATTTTAGCTTTGTAATTTTGAAGTCCCTTGTTGTCCCCTTCTTAGGCGGAGAAGCGACAAACAATATGTTAACTATCTTAAATCCACACATCAGTGAAGGAGAACCCAAATCACAGGAGCGAACGTTCGTTGGCGTTTTCTCTTTAGTGATAGATCGGTTAAGGAATTAATTGTCGCGCTTGTTGTTTCGAAACAGTGATAGCAACTGTTACATTTTGAAACGGGCCCAACTCTGTCTGCCGTTACTGCACTTATGCATATGCTATCAAGATTAAGTCTGCTGACATTGTCATAATATTTTGGATATACACTTCCACATATTCATTTTCCAGCTGGTTCTCCGTCATCGGCTCTCTGCCTATAAGTAAAAACAGTATCGAAATTGAAGGCAGGCGTTTGATTCCCTCTCTCGTGATTTTAACCTTATCCCCCCCTCCTCTTTCTTCCCTCCCCCTCCCCCACCCCCCCTCCCCAAAGCCAGGTTGTCCTGTTCATTTCCTGCAAGATACTCGTAGCTAATGACCTAAGCATCAGAGCTCACCGTAACAGCATTGCCAAAAAGGCATTAAGTGTTGTAAATCTAATCTTAGGAAACTTCTCCTCTGGAAATATTGAATTGCTAACTAGGGCATTCAAAACCTTTGCTAGACCAATACCCGAATACAGCTCATCGGTCTGGAATCCACACTGCATATCAGACATTAATACAATTGAGCGAGTCCAGAAGTATTTCACGAGAAGAGTACTTACACTCCTCCGCTCACAGTAGAATACCCTATGTCGCCAGACTTGAAATTTGGGGCTTGGACAATCTTGAAATACGCCGCCTACTGTTGGACTTAAGCGTAGTACACGAAATTATCCGCTACAGTGGCTACTTCAGCTTCAACTGAAACAATACAAGAGCACACAATAGATACAAACTTAATGTTAACCGCTCCAAACTTGATTGCAGAAAGTACGACTTCAGCAACAGAGTGGTTAATGCCTCGAATGCACTACCTGACTCTGTTGTTACATCCTCAAACCCCCACTCCTTTAACCTCAAACTATCCACTATTGACCTCACCCCATTCCTAAGAGATCTGTAAGGGGCTGCATGTGCACCATTGAACCTATTGTACCTATTGTCCCTGTCCTATTGTCCCCATTTATTCGTACCTATTTCCTGTACTCTTACTCATGTTTATACTTATACCTATTATCTTGTAAGCGATTGACAAATCAAATCAAATCAATCAATCAATAAAAATGCTGTGGATAGCATCAGCTGGCTGGGGAATTCTGGGAGTTGAAGTCCACACGTCTTAAAGGGACGAAGGTTGAGAAGGCCACCACACCTTTTCAAGTTGTTACGGTTAAGGAACTTAAAACATGCCGGCCTGGGGATTCTGGGAGTTGAAGTTCACATGTCTTAAAGGGATGAAGGTTTAGAGGTACACCCCTTTCCAAGTTACTACGGTTGAAAAACAAAAAGCCTGCCAACTGGGGGATTCTGGGAGTTGAAGTCCAGCCATCTTAAAGTCACCAAGGTTGACAAAACATTCAGGGTAAGACTGAGCAAATTCTTTGTAAGTAAAGTCGCTCTTTGTTGCTGATTTGGTTTGCAGAGGTTTTTTTTTTCTTTCTGCCCTTGTTAATCCATCTGGAAGTTGGAATATCTTGTTGGAGGGCTCAAGAAAACTGTTCATGCAGATATGCGCATATGTTTGGGGAGAGGTTTACCAGAACAGCACAGTAATGGAAGGAGTCATCATATCAGAACAACTTCACACTGCTGACAATACTGTATAACTACCACACCCTCAAGGCTGAGCTGGAGCCAAAAAAATAATAATTGCTGGCTCTGGAAGAAGATGCATGAATAGATGGCCTGTTAACAATTCTTTCCTTTCCAGTTTGCATTCCTCTCTGCTTTGCTTAAGATTCCCCAAAGCATTTGTTCCAATCTCGGTGGATTTGGGAATAAAGTTTTAAAAGCAGGAATGTTGTAAGCTTGGTACGCACTTTCTTTGTTACTGTAGTAGCCATGGTGGTTGATGATTCAGGGTTTAATCTCACATATGAAGGCACATAAAGGTGTCCCGGGAAGTTGCATGTTCAAATCTGGGTCAATCATCAGAGCTTTCAAATTCGTGCTGGAGCCCATTCTCAGGTAGCTTCTCTCCACAAGAATGTATGCTTTGGGCATACATATTCATAGTATTTATATGGTGCCTTATTAGGTGTGGCTTCTTGGTTGATTGAGATGTTGATGGCCGGCTATTAAGCTGTTGGCTGTTGTTTCCTTGTGCTGCCAGGTTCTCAGCTCCTGATAGGCTGGTGGAAAATCAGCCTTCCTGTTGACTGCCAAGGGGCTTCAATCATTTCCCTGGATGTTTTTGTACCTGCTTGGCCAACAATCATAGTAGCTGCAAAACTGAATGGATTGCGACATGAGGCTGCCAATGAGTTTGGCTCTCCTCCTTGTGTTCTTGCAATCTGGTTAGCTTCCTCCTCATCTGTCTTGCATAGTCACAGGGGCCATCCATGCAGGGGATCCGGTAGATTACCTTGGAAGCGTCTCCCACCTCCAAGCGATTTTTGCAATGCATGACAAATCCCTCTGATCCCAGGGACCGAGCCAGATTGGATCCATGGTTGGATCTGTTATATTCAACCCAGCCCATTGGTTCATTCACTCAATTGATCCAAGTTTGCCTATCGCACCTGGTTTTTCACCATCTCCCTCTTCTTTCTTCTGTGGATTCAACCCAAAAGGATTGAGAACTTGCTGAAACTTTCAGAAACCAGGCAGGTTTCTGTATTCTTAAATGTGAAGAATCCACACTGTTCGCTCAGTTCGCTCACCCCTTCCTGGGTTGAAGGGCCGTTGTGTTTGTGACCATCCCAACTGGATGAATCTGCTTCCCTTTGTTCTTTTATTGGCAAGTCGTTTCCCCCCCCCCACTTGGATGATATGTGGCGTTCTGTCCATGAATAATCAGCAAGTAGCAAGAACACAAGGAGTTACAGATGCAAACCTCTGGCGGTGAGAACATCTCCACTGGGCATATCATAAATCACCGAATGGGAAGGGACCATTTGGGCTGCTGGGTCCAGGCATCTGCTCAATATAAGAAACTGAATGAAAACCTCCCTGAGAGATGTCTGCCCAGATTGTGCTCGGTCGCACCCAGAGAAAGAAAGTTCGTGACCTCCAACCGTGCTGTTCCCACTGTTGAGAAACCTCAAGGACAATCTTGCCTTAGGCATGCTGAACATCAGTCAATCCTACACTGTCCGTCCGCCTAGGTAGAAATCAGCTCCAGAGGAACCTAACCTAACTATCAGATATCAGCCTAAAGCTATCAACCAAACTATCAAGTATCAACCTAAAACTTTCAACCAAATTGTCGAGAATCGATCTAAAACTATTAACTGAAATATCAAATATCAACCTAAAGCTATCCTCCGAACTATCAAGAATCAACCTAAAACTATCAAACTATCAAGCATCAACTAAAATTGTCAACCAAACTATCTAGAATCAACCTAAAACTGTCAACCGATCAAGAATCAACCTAAAACTGTCAACCAATCAAGAATCAACCTAAAACTGTCAACCGATCAAGAATCAACCTAAAACTCTCAACCGATCAAGAATCAACCTAAAACTCTCAACCGATCAAGAATCAACCTAAAACTCTCAACCGATCAAGAATCAACCTAGATCCAACCCAGACCAAAGGAGAAATTTCCTAACAGTGAGAACAACTAATCCGTGGAACAACTTCCTTCCAGAAGTTGTGGGTGCTCCATCACTAGAGATTTTTAGAGATTGGACAGCCATTTGTCTGAAATGGTATAGTCTCCTGCTTGAGCAGGGGGTTGGATTAGAAGACCTCTAAGGCCCCTTCTGACTCTGCTCTTCTTGGACCTCTTCGCATCCCACAAGAACTGATTTTAAACTCTAGAACAGGGGCCTCCAAACTTGACAACTTTAAGACTTGTGGGCTTCAGCTCCCAGAATTCCCCAGCCAACATGTCTAGCTAAGGAATTCTGGGCGTTGAAGTCCACAAGTCTTAAAAGCTGCCAAATTTGAAGACCCCTGCTCTAGAACTTCAGAACATCTTTGGCCTTTAGAAGTTCCCTCACCCAGAAGACATGAACTAGGCAAATGTAATAAACCTGCCCACCAAGCGGTATCTTTCTAACAGGTAAACGGTCTCTGAATTTACTTGAAAATACCAAATGTAGGTATCTTTTGATAGAAGATGCTTGAGTTCTTCTTGAGTTACATAAAGGACGGATGAACTAATTGGTGTTCATCTTCTGAAGTTTTTGTTTCCCGTATGCCTGTCCATCAACCTAAGGGTGCTGCTAAGACCAACCTTACTGAGTCATATATTTCTCTCATTAACAAAACCAACCACTGGGATCTTAGGCAGGGCCTAAGTATCTGGTGGAGAAGATCAGGAGATGTCTACAGATGGGTGGAACAATACACTGGAGTCTTTTGCCAGCCTCTTCAACCCCTGGCTTGCATTTCCAAATAATGGGGCATGTTTCCTGGCCTACTCCATAAATTCTCTCTGTTTCTCTTCCAGGCCGTTTCCAAGCGGGTGGGTGAGGTTGCCTGTGACATTTCTGAAGACATCTGAGAGGCTTCAGAGTCTTCATGTTGGCGGTTTTTCCCCCAAGTCAAATTTTTCATCCTTTCTCTTCGTAGAGCAGATTGGTTGAGCAAGACATTTACAATCATGAGATAGGAGGCTTACCCGAGAGTAAGCCAACACTTGTTTTTTTTTTTTTGACAGCAAGTAGGTGTAAGACTTGCTAATGATTGTTTCTCTGTATAATAGTCTCTCACCTCCGTGGAGTTACGCAAACTCTCCGTATTCCTGGATTGGACAGGAAGGTGCCTCGATTTTGTGTTGAAGTATTCACCTTCACAGAGGATAAAACAGGCTTTCTAGAAGTCTACGGGGATTCTCAGTCAACCAGGTCATGGCTTGTCCCAAAAGTGCTTTTTTTCAAGAAGCAACTGGACTTTCTGGTTTTGTTTTTTATGACATTTCCCTTCTCATCTAAGGGGCTTCCTCTGCTCTGACTGGATGGTGGGGAATGGAAAGGAATGGAATAGAATTAGGGATAGGGATAGAACAGAACAGAACAGAACAGAACAAAATAGAGAATAGAATAGAACAGAATAGAATATAGAATAGAATAAGGGATAGGATAGGATAGGATAGGATAGGATAGGATAGGATAGGATAGGATAGGATAGAATTCTTTACTGGCCAAGTGTGATTGGACACACAAGAAATTTGTCTTTGATGCAAATGCTCTCAGTGTACATAAAAGAAAAGATACGTTCGTCAAGAATCATAAGGTACAACATTTAATGATAGTCATGGGGTACAATAAGCAATCAAGTCATACTAGGAAACAGTCAATATAAATCGTAAGGATACAAGCAACAAGGTTATAGTCATACAATCACAAATGGGAAGAGATGGGTGATAAGAAGAGAAGATTAACAGTAATAGTATGCAGACTTTGTAAGTAGTTGGACAGTGTTGAGAGAATTATTTGTTTAGCGGAGTGATGGCATTCGAGAAAAAACGGTCCTTGCGCCTAGTTGTTCTAGTGTGCCGTGTTCTATAGCGTAGTTTTGAGGGAAGGAATTGAAACAGTTTATGTCCAGGATGTGAGTGGTCTGTAGATATTTTCACTCATGCAGTATACGGGTCCTACAGCCTCATGTTACATAACTAAGCTCCCTTTCATGCCGAATAAACTGAATTATTGATGTTGTCTTAAAGAGAAAACTATCTTTAGATAGATTTTTACTCCCCAAAGCATTTTATTAAAATAAATGTGATTTTAAAAAAACCCAATTTAAATTTTTTTTAAAAAATCCATTTTTTTTTAAAAAAAATCAATTTTTATCCACCCTGGCTATCTCTACACCCCTCCCTCCCTAGCTCCGTCGCACCAGGCTGTGTCAGCCCCAAAGCCACGAGAAGAGAAACCTCCCTAGAAGAAAAACTACCAAAAGGAAAATGGCCTCAGTTCGGCCAACTTCAGGGTTGACGGTAAGGTCTGTGCCATGCTTCAGCCTGCCTTCAAACTCCCTGTGGATGAGTAAGATGGAAGAACGTAAGTCTGACTCATGCGTTTGGATAGATGTCCACCACCACCACCACCCAGCAAATCTGAAGTCAGGGGGCAGGGGAGGGAAGAAACTGGAGAAGAGGCAAGTGACGTGGTGGGTGCATCATGGTTTGCGTGGCTTCCGCAACGAGCCCCAACGGTGTGGGCAGCCCTTCTGGGCATTCATCCTTAGTCATATCGTTGGATGCTTTGCACACTCATCTGGCTACAAACTCTGTCTAAGAGCACATTTTGGGAAAGAGAAAAACACGGACGAAGATTTCAAAACACAATCGCAGTCTACAGGAACCAAGAAAAAGAGGCAAGAAGCAACGGGCAGAAACTAATCAAGGAGAGAAGCAAGCTAGAACCAAGGAGAAATTTCCTTCCCGTGAGAACAATTAGCCAGTGGAACGGCTTGCCACCAGAAGCTGTAAATGCTCCAACACTGGGAGTTTTGAAGAAGAGATTTATTCATTTATTATTTTATTCATTTATTATTTTATTCATTTATTATTTTATTCATTTATTATTTTATTTATTTATTTTGTCAAGCGATTGTAAGATAACAGGTATAAGTATAAACATAGTTATGAGTACCTGAAATGGATGCATATAAGAAGAATAAAAAAGGACAAGGACATTGGTACGCTTACGCACGCACCCTACAGGCCTCTTAGGAAAGGGGTGAGGTCAATAGTAGACAATCTAAGGTTAAAGTTTTTGGGGTTTGGGGAAGAAACCCCAGATTCAGGTGGAGGATTCCAGACATTGACCACTCTGTTGCTGAAGTCGTATTTCCTGCCATCAAGTTTGGTGCGGTTAACCTTGAGTTTGTATCTATTGTTTGCTCTTGTGTTGTTATGGTTGAAGCTGAAGTATTCATTGACCGGTAGGACATTGCAATGTATGATTTTATATGCTCTGCTTAGATCGGACCAAAGGCAGCGTAGTTTGTCCATTTGATTGAAATGATATAAGGGTTTCCTGCCTAAGCAGGGGGTTGGACTAGAAGACCTCCAAGGTCCCTTCCAACTTCGTTATTCTGTAAAGAGGGTGGGGGGGGGTCAATCTATTCTCTAAAGCACCTGAAGGCAGGACAAGAAGCAACCTATGGAAACTAATCAAGGAGAGAAGCAACCTAGAACTAAGGAGGAATTTCCTAACTATCGTGAGAACAGTTCATCAGTGGAATGACTTGCCTTCAGAAGTTGTGATTGCTCCATCGCTGGAGGTTTTTAAGAAAAGACTACATAGCCACCTGTCTGAAATGGTAGAGGGTCAACTGCTTGAGCAAGGGTTGGACTACAAGACCTCCAAAATCCCTTCCAACTCTGCTATTCTCCCCACTTCTCTGCTCGTACCTGTCCCCTTAAAAGCAAAGAGGAAAAAGAAAGGGTAGTTCCATAAATTGTTCAAAAGAGATATCGTACCGTGTGTGGTTGCTCATTTTAACTATGGCTGCTTTGCCCTTCTCCTGCAGGTCAGAAAAATCAGCGGACAGAAAGCCAACAGAAACTCCAGAAGAAAAATCCAGATGTTTCGCCGAAATGCGTTTTGAGCCATAGACGACGGTGAATGCCATAATTGTCCAGGTAAGGTGAAGAATTTGAGCATAAGTCTTTGTGGCTTCTTGCAGGGAGTCCTTGATGTTCCAACCACAACTGAGCCCCAAATTTCTGTCCCTACGTGAGCCTTCGAAACAAACCCTACGTTCATTCCCATCCTGGCTTAATCCCTTCTGGGATTTTTGCTTGTTAACGACATTTGAGATACAGGCAGTTCCCGACTTTTGAGCACGATGGAACCCCAGATTTCTGTTGCTAAGCAAGACAGGTGCTCGATGAATTTTGCCCCATTTTACGGCCTTTTTTTTTGCCAATGTTGTTAAGCGAACTGCTGCAGTTGTTTTAGTTAGTAAGCACGGTTTCTTAAGTGAATGTGGCTTCCTCTTTGACTTTGCTGGTCAGAAGGTCACAAAAGAGATCGTGTGACTCCGGGACACTGCAACCAACATAACTATAAATCTGTCATGCCCCTGTCGGAGTCTGAATCCGAGGAGGAGGAAGACGAACAGCTGACAGGGAGTGGGAGTGTGGCTCCGTTGGCTGTGGAGGAAACTGGGGAAGGGCAAAGTCTGGCTGGGCAGAGGTAGAACAAGGGAGAGGGAGTTCAAAGGAAGACCCAGGCCCACCCCCTCTTCATCCTAGGGCACACAGGGAGGAACGGAGAAGGGAGCAATGTGAGTTGTGTGGCTTATGGGGGAGGAAAGGGCCCTGATTCCCTTCATTAGCTACAGTTTTTGTTGACCACGTTTTGGACTTGATTCTCTGCAGGCTGTTCCTGGGAGAGTTTTTCTCCAGCCAGAAGGTAACCTGGACATTGAGGGGCAAAGTTGGAGCTAATAAAGGGACTCCTACTGATTATCTGACTGTGTGGCCTTTGTGCTACGCCCTGGATCATCACTGGATGCCGTAACGGTCGTAGGTCCCAACACCAGTCCTAAGTCATTTTTTTTTCCAGTGCTGTTGTAACTTCAAACAGTCACTAAGCGAATAGATCACTGTTGTAAGTCCAGGACTACCTTTCGTCTGGAAGCATTTTATAGCCTTTTCTTCCCTCATGTTTTCCAAAATACAACCTGATTTTTCCCCCCCTCCCTCAGATTTCTCTGCTTCAAATGCATATCATCTGTCAAAATGAGTCACTCCCGCTGGGACGGGTGAGGTCATTTAATTCTTTATTTGGACCTTCCAAATCCCGGCATCTTGCTAGAGCTAAGGGTCCCCAGGCGAATCACAGATGTGTGTAGGTCATGCGAGGATTTTTTTTTTCCTCTTAAAAATATATTTTTACTGAGGTAATGTTTAACAAGATAAAAAAAAACAATACAGGGACTTTAACAACAGTTCGCTTACTGACCATTCGAAATTAACAAAGCCACTGCGGAAAAAGGGGGACGTTTTGGCCACTGATTCGCGTTTACGACGGTCGCTGTGGTCCCAGGGTTGTGTGTGATTTCCCTTTTGCCACCTTCTGACAAGCAAAAACCCGTGGGGAATCCCAGGATCACTTAATGACCGCGTGACTCACTTAACACCTGCAATGATTCGCTTAACAACGGTGGCAGGAAAGGTTGTAAAATGGGACAAAACTGTCTCGCTTAGCCAACGGAAATTTGGGGCTCAGTTGTGGTCGTAACTCAAGGACTACCTGATAAATATTTTTTTAAAAAAAAAATCATGTAAATGGGTCTTTTTTAAAGGGATTTGGAGGGGAGCGAGGAATGAGCATATTATATTTAATTGAGGAGCAATCCCATCTGATAACCTTTGATCTTAAAAGGAAAGATAAGGAATATAAAGTTAGCTTATTTGATGAAGGTTAAAATATAGATGTTATTGCTGGTAACTCTCAATGGACTTTTATCCATTATGACCAAATAACTAGGCTTTAAAATTGTATTGTTGGAGAAGAATTGAGATAATCTACCTTTTCTGATCCTCAAACTTATAATTCACAAGTTCATTTCTCTCTCTCTCTCTCTCTCTCTCTGTGTGTGTCTCTCTCTCTGTCTCTGTGTCTCTCCCTCTCCCCCTCCCTCCCTCCCTCCCTCCCTCTCTCTCTCTCTCTCTCTCTCTCTCTCTCTCTCTCTCTCTTTTTTAGGTTTCCAGGCTCTGATAAATGAAATTGTCGATCTTTCTCTAATCAAGTTATTTTTGTGTGTGTCATCCCTGCCAGTTCTGATATCTTCATTCTTCCATTGTGAGTATTTCAGAATCTTTCCATTTTGGGGCACATCCCACATAGAACAACAGAGTTGAAAGGGACCTCGGAGGTCTAATAGTCCAACCCCCTGCTAAGGCAGGAAACCGGACCCCACTTCAGACAAATGGTTGTCCAATCTCCCTATAATAGTCTCAGAACCGTAATGCTATATTAAAAACAATCTTCCATGACTCTTTCCTAATTGACTGTCCATTAATGGTTTAATAATATTTTAATTATTATTTTTTTTACTTCTTTTATAAGCTGCCCAGAGATACCTTGTAGGGAAGATAGCGACATAAAAATTAGAAAGGTGAAGAATCCCTGCAGTTGTTAAGTCAGTCAAACGGTTGTTTGGAGATCCCGTGACCCCCTAGGATGCAGCAACTGTCATAAATGTGAAAAATGGTCCTAAGTCCCTTTTTTTTGTTCCAGTGCCATTGTAACTTCGCATGGTCACTATCATCATCTTTTAATAACCCCATATAGTCCCTTGCGGGGTGAAGTCTGGGAGACTGAATGGAACTGAGTATTTACTGGCCAGATGCCCTTCCTGTTGCCAACGTGGAGTTCTATGTCAGCAGATACAATCTCAACATGGCCAGAAAGAGAAAATTTTGGGTTAACCGCTTTGGGTTTGTTTGTTTTTTTCACCCTAGAAGGCTCTGAAGCCGTTGAAAACCCCACCGTCAATGAAGGAAGAAACCGCCTTGGATTTTGAAGTGTGGGCGAGGTCCTGATTCTGTCCCAACATGCGGAAAGGGGCACCCAAGGATCCGGATATCGCCGAGCTCTTCTACAAAGATGATCCTCAGGAGCTGTTTGTGGGCTTACATGAAATCGGGCATGGAAGCTTTGGAGCGGTTTATTTCGTAAGTAGCTTGAGTTCTCCGTTCTCTCTCCCTTCCCCTGAAAAAAATTGCAGACTACAGGAAACATTTGCACTACTCAGGTGGCCCCGAGGACACAGGTAAAACCTCCAAGTGGCCTCAACGACCCTCTCAAAGGATGCAAAGGACCAGCTGTCTGCGAGGAGTATAAATCCTTCCTTTCCTCACCATCCAGTCAGAGCTGAAGAAGCTTCTGGGACGAGAAGCGAAACGTCTTTAAAAGAAAGAAACAAGAAAGCCCAGTTCCCTCCTGAACAAAAAAGCACCTTTGGAAGAAACGAGAACCTTTATTAAATTTTATTTCTCTCCCCCTCCCTTCTTCTTCCGTTGCCAGGCCACCAATGCCCGGACCAACGAAGTGGTGGCGATCAAGAAAATGTCTTACAGCGGAAAACAAACCAACGAGGTAAGAAGAGCACACGTGACGTCTCAACCTGCGGCAATACCGCTATGCTCAAAGGTGGATAGTGTTATTCGCTGCCAACTATTGAAAAAGGAAACCATTAAAATTAAAAAATAAAATAAAATAAAAGACCGGTCCAGCATGGGTTGGTGAGCCACCTATGTTACAATTGTGGTCGTCAGTCGAGGAGTACCTGTACTCAAGGCAGCGTGTGGTTTTGATGTATTTTACTTTATTTATGTATAGATTTACCGAGTTCGATCTAGGTAGAGGCAGTTTGTTTTTCCTCTCTGGGCACAAGGTGAATCTATCTGCTGAACAAAACTCTGTACTGGCAATAGGAAGGGCATCCGGCCAGTAAACAGTCAGCTCCATTCGGTTGCCTAGACTCCACCCCGCAAGCGATTATGGGGGGGGAGGGGGTCATTAAAAGAAGATGATGATGATGATGACCTATTGTGTGGATCGCTACCCGTTTGTATGCTTTTTTATACGAATTGCAATGTGCCACGTGTATTCGTATTTCTTACTTAACAACATAAATTTTGAGCTCAATTGTGGTCGTAAATTGAGGAGTACCTGTACTCAAGCCTGTGTGTGGGTTATTTATTTATTTATTTATTTATTTATTTATTTATTACTTTACTTTATTTATCGATTTGCGTGCCATCTTTCTCTCCAAGGGGACTTCCGTTTTATTTTCTCTTCTCATCCGTGCTGCAAAGCATTGCATAATTTCTTACAATGCAACTCTTAGCCTTGAATAAGTTGCCCTTTGGTCTTTTATATCTTAAAGAGATAAGGAATAATTAACATTCCTTCCTAATCTTTCCGAAGCCCAGGAAACGGTCCCAAGCCGTTCCTTGTCATAAAAACTCCTCCTGAACCGAAATGCAGAAAGCCAAGGCCTTTGACCCCCGCCCTTTTCCAGTTGGTCACCTTTTGAATTTTCTGGATCAAGCGAAGAATCTCGGCGTTCAACTTCCTTTCCTTGCTTCTACTCCCCCCCCTTTTTTTAAATTAACAGAAATGGCAGGATATCATCAAAGAAGTCCGATTTCTGCAACAGCTGAAGCATCCCAACACTATAGAATATAAAGGCTGCTATTTGAAAGAACATACTGCCTGGGTGAGTTGCATCAACACGAGTTTTTTTTTTTTTTAACTGATTACAGATTAACAGAGTTTACAAGGGGACCTTGTAGGTCATCTAGTCCAACCCCCCTGCTCCCCCCCCCGCTTTTTTTTTAGGAGACGTTTTGAGCAAAGATGGTTCCTTAGAAGGGATCGAAGCATAATGCTAAATCTTTCGTTCTTTGGAGAAAAGGGGGGGAAAATAGCTTTACCGGTATGGAGACATAATTCCGGTTCTGAATTTGTCGTTTTAAGCTGCAGCCCTTATGATATACCCAGACTAGAATTAGAATTAGAATTGAATAAGTAGAATAGAATAGAATATAGAATATAGAATATAGTGGAGTGGAGTGGAATGGAACGGAATAGAATAGAATAGAAGAATTCGAAGGGATCTTGGAGGTCTTCTAGACCAACCCCCTGCCTAGGCAGGAAACCCTACGCCACTTCAGACAAATGGTACCACTTCAGACAGATGATATGTTAAGGGCTGTGCCTTTGCATTGCATCGCAGACTAGGATAGAATAATAACAAGAGTCGGAAGGGCACCTGGAGGTCATCTCGTCCACCCCACCTCACGAGACGGAGAGTCTCTATGATTTCAGACCAATGGTGGTCCAACCTCTCCTTGAAAGCCTCCAGGGGTGGAGCAGCCACACCTTTCCATAAGTTGCCTCGCAAGCTTGATCATGGCGTGGACCCCTTAAGAAGAAGACGATTTGCAAATGATGCTGGGAAGTGTAGTTTGAGGCAGTTTCACAGTCTTCCTCCTCTTCTTCCTCCTCCACCCCCTCCTCCTGCTCCCCACAAGCCCCACTCCCTTCTAGCACTGATGATGTTACCTACTTGGGTCATGAAAGGTCTGCAACAAAACCACCAAGTTCAGAGTACACCAAGGACCCCATAGTCCTAGTCATCCTCCTCCTCCTCCTCCTCCTCCTCCTCCTCCTCTCTGCAAACCCTACTCCCTTCTACCCTTCTAGCACTGATGATGTGACCCAGTCTGCAAGACAACAACCCAACCCAGAGACCTCCAAGGACTCCCAAACCGTTCCTTAACGGCTGCATTTCTTTCCATCTTTTCACAGCTGGTCATGGAATATTGCCTGGGATCTGCTTCAGATCTGTTGGAAGGTAAGTCTTTGGATCTCCTGCCCTGTCTTTTGGACCACATGGGAATTACATTTTTTTTTAAAGGAAATTTTTTTTTTTAGGGTATTACATTTTGCAACAGCATTTCTTAGGCCGTCCATCACCGTTCCCTAACAGCGACCACCAAATCTTTTCCTCTTCCGTCGCTGGGACGGTTTCTGTCCTATGCGCCGAACATCCATTCAGCCGGACTGTCCTAGCTTTGGAAATTTCCAGGCTGTCATTTTGCCTCTGAATTAACTGCCTCGGGGGGGTCTGATTTCCATCTTTCTGTGCTTCGTTTGGATGATGGCTCGGAATGACGAGAGAGAGAGAGAGTCTTTTCTAACCGCCCGTTGCCAATTTCCATCCTCCTGGGTCCGTCCGTGTTTTATTTTTCCCGTCGTTGGCAACAAAGCTGACGGACTCGGCCAAGAGGCTCTCTCTCCTCCAAGATGGTTCCCATGCACGATATCTTATATTTTAAAAGCTGAAAACAAAGGTCTGTCTTTCTTCGGTGGCACTAGGACAGATTCTCTGCTGTCGTTTCCCACGCTCTTATTCCCCGGGTAGAACCAGAAGAATGAGATATGGAGGGGAGGGGTGTCTCTTTGGTCAGGAGGGGCCGGAAAAAAAAACTTTTTCCAGTCTATGTTTTAAGGGCTGGTTAGTTACAGATCTAAACTCTCTCTCTGTGTGTGTGTGTGTGTGTGTGTGTGTGTGTGTGTGTGTGTGTATGCATATGTGTGTGTTTGTACGTACATGTGTATATGTGTGTGTTTATTTTATTTTTTTATTTTATGTATTTTATATTTTATTTTATTTATATTTTATTTTATGTACATTTTATTTTATTTTATTTTATTATTATTTCATAATTTTACTATTTTTATAAATAACCCAAGGCAGCAAGCATTTCTAATATTCCTCCCCTCCTCCTATTTCCCCCACAACAACAACCTCGTGAAGTGGCTTGGGCTGAGAAAGAGGGAGTGGCCCAATGTCACCCAGCAGATTCTCATGCTTAAGGAAGGACTAGAACTCCCAGTCTCCTGGGGATTGACCCAAAGTCACCCAGCAGGCTTTCATGGCTAAGGCGGGACTAGAACTCCCTGTCTCCTGGTGATTGGCCCAAAGAAACACAGTCAGCTTTCACACCTAAGAAAGAACTAGAACTCACAGTCTCCTGGTGATTGGCCCAAATCACACAGACAGCTTTCATGCCTAAGGACAAACTAGAACTCACTGTCTCCTGGTAATTGTCCCAAAGCCACCCAGCTAACTTTCATGCCTATAGTGGAACTAGAACTCACAGTCTCCTAGTGATTGGCCCACATTCACCCAGCCAGCTTTCATGCCTACGAAAGAACTAGAACTCACTGTCTCCTAGTGATTGGTTCAAAGCCACCCAGCTGGCTTTCATGCCTAAGGCGGGACTAGAACTCACTCTCACCTGGTGATTGGCCAAAAACCACCCATCTGGCTTTCATGCCTAAGGAAGGACTAGAACTCACGGTCTCCCAGTTTCGAGCCCGGTTACTTACCGGTCTCTAGACCAGTTTGAGACGGATCCTTCATTAGCCCCACTTCTAAACTTTCTATACCAAGGGTCTTCAAGCTTGGCAAGTTTAAGACTTGTGGACTTCAACTCCCAGAATTCTTGAAGCTAACGTGACTGGAGGAGGCATTTGAAGTCTACAAGCCGTCAAGCTTGAAGACCCCCGTTCTATACCATTAAAAGGAGCTAATCTGCCTTTATTCAACCTTCTCCACACATCTTCAAAGTTCCTCCAGGTGAGACTAAAATCTGGTTTTGCTTCCAATCCAGTACATAAGAAGCCTCTTCAGGAAGTAGAGATCGCTGCCATTACCGACGGTGCCTTGCATGGACTGGCATATCTTCATTCACATTATAAAATTCACAGGTGAGAGCCAAGGTTCCTTCTCTAGTTTATCATTGTGCCTCCCCCCCACTTTTTGGGGGGGAACATTCGGGCTTCCCAAACGCACGAAGCCGACTCCTTGTCCCAAGAAAACCCTTTTTATTTAGCTTACAGTGAATTCCTCTCCAGCAAAGTCCCAGCCGACGGTCTTTCAAGAGATTTCACAACTACAGACCCTTATCAGGCTTGGAGAGAGGCCAGACCGGTATCCTCCAAACGCCACTCTGTAGCAGACAATACTCGGCAAGAAGTCAGGAACAGATCTTCGCCCTAATGAACTGAACTTATTGTCTCCTGCAAAACCCTACTTCCCTTTCGCTCCTCTTTATTTCCTATGGGAGGGGCCATTCCCCGTCCACCTGAGCCTTTACTTTACTCGTGATTATGGGGATGCCGGAAAGGTTTTAACTGTAAAAGAAAAATGGTCTTAAGTCACTTTTTTTTTCAGTGCCGTTGTAACTTTGAACAGTTGCTAACCAAACTGTTGTATGTTGAGAACTACCTGTAGAAAATAACCCTCCTTTTTTTTTTCCCCTGCAGGGATATTAAAGCCGGAAATATTCTCCTAACGGAACCAGGCCAAGTGAAACTAGCAGACTTCGGCTCTGCTTCTATAGCCTCTCCTGCCAATTCTTTCGTGGGAACACCTTACTGGTAAGTGAAACCGATGTGTATTTTTCCTGCAGCCTTTCGAAAGGTGCTGACCCGAAGGGGGGGAAACTAAAGCATCTGTTTTGCTTTTAAATACAATCCCGGCCTTCAAAACAAAAATAAAAAAATTCTGCATTTCCCACCTTCCATGGATATGGACTCCGACTCCCAGAATTCTTCAGTCATCGTGGCTGTTCCTGAGAACTCTGGGAGCTGACGTTCACAGGTCTGCAGATGGCCATGCTTGGAAAACTTGGTCCCAACGTGGCAACGGTAAGACTTGTGGACTTCAACTCCCAGAATTCCACTTTTAAGAGTTGTGGATTTCAGCTCCCAGAATTCCACTTTTAAGAGTTGTGGATTTCAACTTCCAGAATTCCACTTTTTAAAGAGTTGCGGACTTCAACTCCCAGAATTCCATTTTTTACAGAGTTGCGGACTTCAACTCCCAGAATTCAACTTTAAAAATTGTCGACTTCAACTCCCAGAGTTCAACTTTCAGACCTGCGGACTTCAACTCCCAGAATTCCCCAGCCAGCCAGCTGTGGAATTCTGGGAGTTGAAGTCCGCAAGTCTTAAAGTTGCCAACCAGTTCTAAATCAAGAATCCGTATGCAAACATGGCATGTTCTACCCTCCTGGCACAATGGGCGCTGAAAATTGGAACACGAGAAGCCATTTGCAATGATTTTTTTTTAAATCTCCCCACCCTCTGAAAAAAAACAGGCTGATCAACTAAAACCAATCTACGATGCAAATAAGTGCCCGTTTTTGTGGCACCAGGCAGGCATGGTGGAAAAAGAGCAATTATTTCAGAGAATAAATATTCGGAAACAAGCCTGGGAGTCTGGCAAATACTGGTAGTATAAATACTCCAGGGGTATCAAACTTGATTTCATTGAGGGCCGCATCAGGGTTGTGTTTGAACCTCAGGGAGCCGGATGGACATGGCTGGATGGGGTGGGTATGGCCCTCTACCCGCGAAACAGAGCCCACAGGCCCCTGTTTTCAGCTGGGACAACCTCCTGCAGTCTTCTGCTAGGGAAAATGGAGCTTAAGGGAGGCATCTACAACTCCCCGAACTCAGTTTTCACTGGCAGAGGCACCATGGATCGGTCCTTCCCTGTTTCCATGGCAGCCCCCGTGGGCCAAATCTAAGCACTCTGCAGGCTCCAGGGCAGTGGTGGGATTCTACCAGTTCGCACCTATTCGCTAGAACCGGTTGTTCACATTCTCAGCAGTTGGGAGAACCGGTTGTTAGAAGAAATTCCTGGCCTAATCCTGTAAGGAAGGCAGGAAGGAAACATTCTGGTGTTGCTTACAGAAACTGCCTCTCCGTTAACCCTTATTACATTCTTGGCAGGACTAGACTTCCTGTCTCAGGAACTTCTCTGGAGTATTTTTTCCCCTCCTTTGCTGGTACTTTGCTTGTGTGGAGGGACCATTCAAAGTTACAATGGCACTGAAAAAAGTGACTTATGACTGTTTTTCACACTTACGACTGTTGCAGCATCCCCACAGTCACGAGAGGCCAGGCAAGGAGAAGCATTCCTCGATGTGAGTGATGTTGAGCTGGCCACACCCAGCCAGTCACATGACCACCAAGCCATGCCCACCAACTAAGCCACGCCCACAGAACCGGTTGTTAAAAAACTTGAATCCGAGCCCTGCTCCAGGGCCTTGAGTTTGACATCTCTGCTCTACTCCAAGCGTCTCCCAACTTGACAAACCTTTAAGCCTTGTGAACTTCCAACGCCGAAAATTGGAAGAATTGAATTGGCTAGCTGGGGAATTCTGGGGGTTGAAGTCCAGAAGTGACCAAGTTTGGAGTCCCGCTTACTCAACTCGTATCATTTTTATAATCGGAATACTTCGGAGGGCTTGCTCCCCTTGTCAACATCTAGCCCAGTTGCCTGTCAATAGGTCCCACCCAAGCCTCTTCAGTCCCTATGTTCTTGTATACATTCTTGTTTGTGTCATTTTGGTGTGAGCTTCCAATGCATGGCACCTTCTAGAAGCCCACTGATTGGTTGATTGGGTTATCAGTGTATTTGTGGATTTGGTTTATATAGCTCTCCCCATCTCAGATGCACATAGGTTAGTTGGTTGGTTGGTTTCTTTATTTGATTTATAGACAGGTATAGTCCTTGACTTACGGCCACAGTCGAGCCAAGAATTTCCTTTGTTTTGCAAAAGGATTGTTTTAAGTTGGATTTTGCCCCTAAATTTTGTGACCTTTCTTGCCAGGGTGAATCCCTGTAGCTGTTAAACTGTTGTGGTCGCCAGCAGCCTGTGCAGATGGCAGCGGAATCTGACAGTGGGGAAGAATGGGGACCAGTCTGGGAGTCTGGAGAGGACTCGGATGAGGGTCCTGTATCCAATGCAGAGATGGGGCCAGGACCATCTGGGAGTGGGCTGCTGACTCTGGAGCCTCCGGAGTCTGGCACCAGCGAGGCAGAGGACCCAGGGGAGCCTGTTCCCAGTGTGCGTATGCACAGAGCTGCCAGAAGGCGAGAGCAGCTGAAACAAAAGGGGCAACTCGGGAATAAGGCTGGGAGGCCCCTCCCCTAAGGGATAAAAGTCAGGCCAAGATGATGAAACCTTTGCAGGAAGCAAAGTTGTTTGATCGGTTCAGAGTCATCCTTAAAGCTCTTTGTACTTCAGTTGGTTTTCTTTCTAGTTCATTTGACACTTCTGTTATTGGCAGCACTTCACAGAAAAGAAAGGTGGGTGCTTATCTCAGGGGACTGTTTGAGATTAATTCCGGCTGGGAATTAATGAAAACAATTCCAAGCGTTGCAATAAAATAAGACTTGTTTTTAAAATTAGCGTGTGCATAATTACGGTCTAGGAAGCCTTGGTCAGCACATACCTGTAGTAAGCTTTACAGCTAAAAACAGACAACTTGACCCTGCTCCAGTCAGTTCTTCAACCACAACTACGGTTGTAAGTTGTGGACTGCCTGTATACAGGTTTAGGAGCTGTCCAAATCCTGATCTCAAAAGTACTTCAGGAAAGTCCCAAAGGGGCTTTTTCAAAAGGCAACTGGACTTTTGTTTTTCACCCTGACAACCGTTGCAGCACTCCCCGTAATCACCTGACCGAATCTGGACTCTTGGCAACTGGCATGTCCTGATGACAGTTCCACTGTTCCGGGGGTCATGTGGTCATGGCAGAGAAGTCCCAATACTTATGAAGATGGTCATTGTCATGCCCCTGTCAGAGTCGGAAATATGGCTCCGTTGGCTGTGGAAGAAACTGGGGAAGAGCAAACTCCGGCTGGGCAGAGCAGGAGAGAGGTAGAACAAGGGAGAGGGAGTTCGGAGGAAGACCCAGGCCCACCCCCTCTTCATCCTAGGGCATGCAGGGAGGAAAGGAGAAGGGAGCAACGTGAGTTGCATGGCTTATGGGGAAGGAAAGGGCCCTGATTCCCTTCACTAGCCACACCTGGGAAGAGAGTTTAAAGGAGATGCATGCTGAGTGCAGCGTCTGCTGGGAACAAACATGAATTTATCTTGTATTGTTGTGGCTTATCTGTGTTCCTGGTGCCTCCTCGACAGTGTGAGTTTTGCCGTGCTTTCAAGTCTGAAATTCTTGCTCCTGCCTTGCCAAACTAATTTGGCTTGTTTGGACTTTAAGTTACAGTTTGTGTGTACCTTGTTTTGGACTGAATTCTCTGCAGCCAAAGGCTGTTCCTTGGGAGAGTTTTTCCCCAGCCCAGAAGGTAACCAGGACATCGGGGGGCAAAGTTGGAACTAATAAAAGGGACTCCTCCTGATTATCTGACTGTGTTGCTTTTGTGCCACGCCCCTTTGGGTCGTCACAATCTTTCTGTAAGTCAAGGGCCATTTGTGTGGTTTTTCCACATGTCTTGAATGGCAGGCCGCGGTCTTTCTGTAAGTCAAGGACTACCTGTCGGAGATTAGGCTCAGGTGAGAAGGACCCAGCCAATTGCATCTGAGCGGTTGGTCTCTTCCCCTCTTCCAAGTCGAAACGTGCTTGTAGTGTGGGGGTTTCCCTCCTGTGTTTGCCTTCTCCCCACACGCCCCCCGCCTTCCTCACCCCTCCCCCGCAAACCCCCTTTCCCTTCTGTGCTCCAGATCCCCCTTATTTCTTTCATAGCTGCAACCTCAGGCTGAACCTCTCCGAGAAAACACTGTTGGTGTGTCAGTGGGAAAGCTCACCGTATCTGGTGAGAGCGGTTGCCTTACCAGCCTTTTCAGCCCCTGCTTGGCTGAATCCAGGTACAGTGCCAATGAGCTTGGTGCCGGCTGCCTGTTTTCCAGCATGTTGCACTGAGATGGATCATGAAAAAAAAAAAACAGTTTTTAATTTTGCATTCTCCATACATCCATAATCATCTCCCCTCCTCCCAACCCCCCACCCCCCCTTCACCCCTCAGAAAAGATTCTTAGCTTAAGGAAGCGACTAAGACGATGATGGTGATGACTGTTATTATTTTATTGTTATTATTATTTAAAAAAAAAAAACCTCCCCAGCATGGCTTAATTCTGTTCCATGCTGATTTTATTCTTTTTGAGTTGGTCAGGGGGACTTTGAAGAGGGGAGCGGGGATGCATCTGTTGCCGTGCTGTGCCTTACCCCACCCGCCTTTTATTTTTCCTTCTTTCTTTCTTTCTTTCTTTCTTTCTTTCTTTCTTTCTTTCTTTCTTTCTTTCTTTTTCTTTCTTTCTTTCTTTCTTTCTTTCTTTCTTTCTTTCTTTCTTTCCTTCCTTCCTTCCTTCCTTCCTTCCTTCTTTCTTTCTTTCCTTCCTTCCTTCTTTCTTTCTTTCTTTCTTTCTTTCTTTCTTTCTTTCTTTCTTTCTTTTTCTTTCTTTGTTTTCTTTCTTTCCTTTTTTCTTTCTCTTTCTTTCTGTCTTTCTTTTTTTCTTTCTTTTTCTTTCTTTCTTTCTTTCTTTCCTTCTTTTTCTTTCTTTTTCTTTCTTTTTTTCTTTCTCTTTCTTTCTTTCCTTCCTTCCTTCCTTCCTTCCTTCCTTCCTTCCTTCCTTCCTTCCTTTCTTCCTTCCTTCTTTCCTTCCTTCTTTCTTTCTTTCCTTCCTTCCTTCCTTCTTTCTTCTTTCTTTCTTTCTTTCTTTCTTTCTTTCTTTCTTTCTTTCTTTCTTTCTTTTTCTTTCTTTGTTTTCTTTCTTTCCTTCTTTCCTTTTTCCTTTCTCTTTCTTTCTGTCTTTCTTTCTTTCTTTCTTTCTTTCTTTCTTTCTTTCTTTCTTTCTTTCTTTCTTTCTTTCTTTCTTTCTTTCTTTCTTTCCTGGCATCCCATAATTTTCACTCTTGGCATTCATGTACGGTAGGATGGCTCCAGAAGTAATCCTGGCTATGGACGATGGGCAGTACGACGGGAAAGTCGACGTTTGGTCGCTTGGAATTACTTGCATCGAGTTAGGTAAGTCAATTGACGTCGATGCACTTGTTGGATTTAATGCAACAACTCTGGCTGATTCCGGTTGTGGTTTTTTTAATCGGAAGTGATCTTCTGTTGGGTTCAAGTTTTGCGCTGGAAGGATTCTTGCAGAAACCACCTTGGAACCGTGGTGCACAATTGTGGCGTCCCCTTTTTTTAATGCTCAAAGTCGCCGGAACTTGTTGGCTTTCATTCGGGCAAGCAATCTTCTGTAAAAACGTATCCCCTTAAATCAAACGAAATCACAGTATCCATCTCCTGGGTTCTAGCTTTTATGTAACGTGGGACCTTGGTACTCAACGTCACAGGTGGTCCCTGACATACAACAGTTCAATTAGCGACCTTTCAAAGTTACAAGGGCACTGAAATCAAGGAACGTAAGACCATATTTTACAGTTGCGATCTTTGCTACATCCCTATTATCATCATTTTAAACATTTACATTTACATCATTTTAAACATTTACATGTCTCATTCTTATCTTTATGAACATTGGTGTAGGGTCTCCTGCTTGGACTAGATGACCTACAAGGAAGGTCCTTTCCAACTCTGTTAATCTGTAATGTTTCCACGGTTTGTAAGATGGCCAGAGTCACCCAGTGAGTCCATCGTATCTCGCCTTCTCTCTATTGTTATTTTTTTTTCTCCGTTTTTCCTTACAGCGGAGCGGAAGCCACCTCTCTTCAATATGAACGCGATGAGTGCCTTATATCACATTGCCCAGAACGATTCCCCCACGCTACAGTCCAATGAGTGGTAAGAGTTGTGTGTGTGTGTGTGTGCGTTTCTGTCTGCTTTGGTTACCGGAAGAAGTGTGTATGTTAGGTTTGCAGCAAACGTCCCACTCTGAGAGAGACGGGTAGTTGAGTAATATGAAATACCCACAAAAGTAAAATTAGAGCATCGTGAGTCCCAGAAGCACCAAACAAAGACCAATCCAGTTGTTGGGTTGCATGTTGTCAGGCATGAAGAGTCAGGATTTTGTATTAAGTTTCAGTTAAGCTGATTGACTGTTCATGCTTATGGACCTGGAATTAAGGAGGAACTTCCTAACGGTGAGGGCAATTAACCAGTGGAATAGCTTGCCACCAGAAATCATGGGCGCTCCATCACTAGAGGTTTTTAAGAAGAGACTGGACAGACCCTTGTCTGAAATGGGATAGTTTCTCCTGCTTGAGCAGGGGGCTGGACTAGAAGACCTCCAGAGTCCCTTCCAGCTTGCTTATGACCAGGAAGTAGCTGTGATGTGGTTGGTTTAACCTTGGCTTCAATGAAGTAAAAGGTCATGAAATACATGGGGATCAGCCTTTGATAACTTTCTGATTCTCAGATACTGGTAGAAGAGAATATTTACATCTCAGGGTTGAACTGTGGCCTCCTTGATGCTCTCTGAGCTTAGTGGTTTTCTTGCAGACGTTCCATTACCCAACTATGTAACACTATCAGTGCTAAAAGGCAGTGGGGTTTGTGGAGTGGAAAAGGAGGAGAAGGGGAGGAAAGAGGAGGAGTTTTGTGCTGTCTGAGCTTACCGGTTTTCTTGTAGACGTTTCATTACCCAAGGAGGTGACATCGTCAGTGCTAGGCAGTGAAGTTTGTGGAGTGGAGGAAAAGAGGAGGAGGAGGAGGAAGAGGAAGAGGAGGATTGGGGATTCCTTCAGGCTCTCAGCTTGGTTATTTTCTGGCAAACATTTCATTACCCATTTAGGTAATGTCATCAGGAGAGGAGGAGGAGGAGGAGAGGGAGGAGTACTGTGAGGTTCTTGGTGCTCTCTAAGCTGGGTTGTTTTTATTACCCAACAAGATAACATTGTCAGTGCTAGAAGGGAGTGCGGTTTGCAGAGAAGAGGAGGAGGAGGAGGAGGAGAACAGATAGTCCTCAACTTAGGACCACATATATTTAGAATATTTGCATCTCAGGGTTGAACTGTGGGGTCCTTGGTGCTCTCCGAGCTTGGTGGTCTTCTCACAGACATTTCATTACCCAACTGGAGAACAGCATCAATGCTAGCCATTCTCGGCTGCCGCACGTTGATTTCCTATCCCTTCTCCCACCTGAGCAGGTTCTGACCTCCGTTCTGTTCCCATATTCAGGACAGACTCTTTTAGAAGATTTGTTGATTACTGCTTGCAGAAACTACCTCAGGAACGTCCATCGTCGTCAGAACTTTTGAGGGTAACGTTTCACCTCTCTGCTTTGGGAAATCTGCCTCATGGGGAAGCAGCTGACTCCCCTTCTCGTTTTCCTTCAGGGCCTTTCTTCCTTGTCTGGATCCACCCGCTAGGAAGTTCTCTTCAGATGTATCAGACGTAAAACCCAAGTGGTCTATTTTTTTAACACGGCTCCCTCTTTTTCGCTCTTTCCCCTCCCAAGGATTCTGGGGAAGTGAAAGAGGATGCCATCAGTAGATGAGTAGGTTGAAAGCAGCAGGAATAAAAGCAAGGACAGAATGAGTGGAATATGTTGAAGACCAAGAAGCAGATGTCCTGTGAAGTCTACTTCCTTGTTTGGTGAAGGAAAGTAGACTGGTCATCAGTCCAACAATAGCTCGCCTTGAGTCCAATCTGGGTTGGTCACTAGGAGCTCATCCTCGGGGAACTTCTCTCTCCCCAGAAAGGGATTTCTGGTGAAAGAGAAGGTCCCCAAGGATGGGCTTCAGCATGAGTTCGAAAGCTCGGAAGGCCAAACCTCTGGTCCCGGCAACTGGCCCAGATTGGATCCTGCAACGTTATCCCGGGACATGTATACCTGCCTTCATTCATGAATGTTGAGTCTATATAAATAAGAGCATAACACATCAACAACAGTCAACAATACAGTCTTGAGTCTGTATGCCATATCCCATCACCAACAGTCAACAATACTTGGTTATGGGTCCATATGAATAAGGGCATATCCCATCATAGTCAACA